CTCTCTCTCTCTCTCTCTCTCTCTCTCTCTCTCTCTCTCTCTCTCAGTCCAGTACTAACCTGTGAAGTTGGCGCCTTGATGCAGGTACCTCGAAGATGGAGCTGGAGCGATGGCACCACAGGTAAGTACCACTGGCCTCCGCCAGTGTCTCTCCCAACTCTACTACCTACCACCTACAGCGCCCAGCGCTGAAGACTACTGCTATGGCTATGGGCGCCCAGCGCCGAAGACTGCAGCTAGCGCTACTCTACTGCCTAGCGCTGAAGACTACTGCAGMGCTCCTCCTGAGTGCTGCGGCCGAATCCTGAAGACTACTCCTGCTGAATGTCCAACTACCTACCTGTGTAGTGCATGGGAACTTCCTATGTACTACCGGGTGTGCCTCCTGACTCGTGCGAGCAGTCCAGGAGGCTGCTCTTGCCAATGCCGAAGGCAGGCAGGGGCTGCAGCTGCAGCTCCTGCTCAAGCTCGTGAGGAACAGGCTATTTCTGGCCTGTTCCGAAACCCTGTATTCGTGCCTGAGTCTTAGGGGCGGTTGAAACAATGAGGGCCTGAAAATGGCTGGAAAAACTCTGGGTCTGAAAGACCCAAAAATAGGCTGAAACGGAGTAGGGCCTGCAGGCCGTCGTTTTTCAGCTTTCAGGCTGAAAAGACCGGGGCCTGTAAGCCCTAAGTTTTAGGCTTTTACGCTGAATGTCTGGGACGGGCCCTGCAGGGCCCGTGTGGCTACGCAGTATGCCACACCATGACAGAGTTGCGGACTGCCTGTTTTTTCTGCCCATTACCAACTCCCATGTGACATAAACGTACTTCCCTCTAAAAAAAAAGAAAAAAGAAAAAAGGGAAAAAAAAGGCATAATCCGAAAGGTGACACTGTGGGTCATATGGAAGGAGAGATGCAGCAGAACCTTGGACAATCATGTCAGTAATCTGTGTGTGAAGGTGTGGGCCACGACTAAATCATTCATGGAGATGGAGATGGAGATGGAGATGGAGATTCTCTGTCAATGGAAGAAAGTCAAGATTGAAATGCAGGAGAACCCTGAGAAGCAGGAAGAGTTCCTGGTGCAATTCAGGAGGGTATGGCTGGTTGAAGCCTTAGGAAAGGTAGCGGACATTCATGGACTCCACCTCAGATGGAGGGACTGGCACAACTCTAGCCTGCCCAGTTTTACATTCTACAAAAAAAAAAAAAAAAAAAAAAAAAAAAAAACATTCTACCTGTCCAAGGAGCACGGGGGTCACTACAGTTTTCTATCTCTGTTTTTCTTGCATTAAACTTCAGCCGACAGGATCTCTAGTGACGAACCTTTTTTTTTTTTTTTTTTTTTTTTTTTTTTTTTTTTGAACTGTCCGCGGGTTGCTAGTGATGATGATAAGAGCAGCAATCACTAGCAGCCCGGCTACAGGCTCCATTCTATTGGTGGCGACAGGATCTCTAGTGACGAACCTGAGAGGAATAACAGGGAAATTCAATTTCAAAGGCAAGCTGACAGTCAATCCTCCATTAAGTGGAGCAATCAATGCTGTTCAGGGACCCTTGGGCCGGACGGAAGGGAGCAATCAATGCTGTTCAGGGACCCTTGGGCCGGACGGAAGGGTGCCTGAGTGGGTATATGATGTACTGCATCAGATATGATGTACTGAATCAGATGCTTTTCTTTACTTGCCGGCCCAATGCCGGGGGAATAGGAACCGGATTGACCCTCACCAGAGTCGATATGGAGCCAGGACTATAAGGACCTGTTTTATCTTTGGAAAAAGGGAAAAAAAGAGAAATTCAAATGACTATGGAGTCCAGGATACCTGTGCACATCTATGATTGCCACTCAACAAGAAGAACAAGGAGAAGAACTAACAGGAGGCCTCTATGCCTGTGACCAGCTATGGTGGATGGTCTGGACGAACAAGAAGAAGCTTAGAGATTGTTGGGTGCAATGCACAAGGGAACATCGTTGGCCATTCGGCACCACTATGTACATTGGGGCAAAAGGGGGCAAGGGGAGCTGCAGCGGCTGCTCATACTACCCCCTTTGTGCTCTGCAGTACCAGCACTGCGGGTGTTTCATGCTGGGGTAGGATACTCAACCACCCGCGAGGGGAGAAAAGGGGCTTTGTTTTGATATTTCAATCTCCCACTATCCCACTTGTATCTTGTTGACTAGCAATCAACTCACACTATCGAACTGGAAGATGTAGGCGGGCAGTTGTTGCTGATTTTCGGTCTTCCCCCTTCACCTCATTTGATTGATTGGATTTGATTGGAATCGGTTGGATTTGATTGCATAGGGAAAAAAAAAAGAAAACAAAAGGACTTAGTCTAGTAAATGGGACGCTGGACCCGTTTTCCAGCAGGTGACGCTCCCCACCAATAGATGGAGCCTCCTCCCGGGTGCTAGTGGTGTCTGCTCTTATCAGCACCACTAAAACTGCAGGGGGTTGTGTTTAAAAAAAAAAAAAAGGTCCTAAAGCCGACGCTCCGAAGATAGGTGGAACATCGGCGCCAAAATTCCAAAATTTTCTGAGGATTCGTCCTCGGAGCCCGAGGACGCACTGAGATGTGTCTAACGACGCCCTAAGTGGCGCTAATCACAAGCGGCACAATTATCCATACATGCATGGAGAAAAGCAGAGGTCCTGCACACCAAAGCAAAGTACTCAAGTACACTGAACTCTCATCAATGATCACTTTGAAACTTCAGAGAAGTAACATGAGCATATGAAGTGCAGCACCGAAGTAATGAACACAGCGACACTAACTTCTAAACTTCGGAGAAGTAACATGAGCATAAAGCGCAGCACCGAAGTAAATACGAACAGACACTACCGCCTTGGCATCCCCGACCATGCGTTTTGACCGGAGCCCGAATCTGGGCTGTTTTCATTCTCTGAGAGTTGCCTGTCAAGGTGGGGGGAAAGGGGGGTATAATTTGGTTTTAAAGGGGCTAAAGGGGTTTAAACTTTAAGAGGGGTGCCTTAGTGTGACTCTGTCTGCACCAGTCATTACCCCCAGTAGCGCTTGGCAGACGTAGGGTCACCTTTTTTGCTCCATTTCAGGAACTGCTAATTAAAAGTTGCCTATTCTGAACGTTGGGTGTGACTCCAAAGTACTTGCCACTTTTCTTTTTTATCCCTGATTCTGTGAGGAATCCTGATGTGACCCTCAAACTGTGGCCGTGACACACTTTTAGTTTGAAATAGGCAAGAAAAGACAAATTGGCGCCCGTGTCATGGTGTGAGTTTCGAATTGTGCAAGCTTAGCCGGGGTCTAAACTGCGCCAGTCATTACCCGCCGTGGCGCTTGGCAGATTTAGGGGCGCCTTTTGTGCTCTGTTTTTTTTTTTTTTTTTTTTTTTTTTTTT